TGTTCCTGCAACACAGCAGCATCTCCCTCTTCTGCACCACCTCCTTCCTCACCATTGGTCATTTTTTAGATCCAAATAACGAGCTCAACGATGAGATACGACATTACAGCGCAAACGCAGACTTACCCACACAAGGGTATTGACCCACCCTATGAACACCCATAAATCCAAAGCAACTTCATCACTCGATTCAGTTGTCGTCGTCGTCGTCTCTCCCACAACATTGCTGCTAACAGTCACGGAGCCAGAGGTGGCGGTTGGGTTGCCGGTTTGGATTACAGCAGCAGCTTGAGAAGAAGAAGAAGAGTAGAGATGGACTAACCATATTGCAGCCCAGAACAGAGCATAATAACAGCAGGCCTATTTAAAAAAAAAATCCCACCATCTATTCATACTAGGTTGAAGAAAGCATAAACAGTTTAATTAAGAAGATAACAGAGAAGAAGGATTCAACACAAATGTCGCCGTCGGCCGGGGAAAAAGAAGAGACCCGACCCGTCGGGAAGTAGCGCCGATGAGCTTATGTTCAAGTCTTTTTTAGTTGGCCAATTCTACGGTGCCGCATTAAAAAGTGCGGCACAGGTGACGCACTCTATGATTGATCCACGTGGACTATGGCATAGCTGGACTTATTAAATTAAATCCCACCCGTCTGGCCCAAAAGGAGTGGCCCAAACCGTGTCTCTCAAAAGTAACGGAGGAAGAACCATTCTCCGTTTATGATAAAAAAAAAAACCATTCCCCGTTATTCTATTTTATCTTTCATTTCATTAAATTAAAATTTATCTAAATGAAAAATGATATTAGTTATGTATTTCGGGTAGAATAAGAAAACAGATACACAAGGGAATTTGGAGAGAACAGAAATCAGAGATTGATCAAACGAACAAAAGAGAACTTCATCAAACTCCATCTCCGGCGGTCTCTCGAAAAATACTCCCGGCGAATTGTGCTTCGTCGATCCCATCCCCCGCGGTCCCTCTTGAATGCTAATCAGTGCTTTCGTAATGATTAAAAAGACAGGTTCAGAAGGCATGGTCAGTTGAGAGATCGAAATTGTTTCGAGCTTCAAGAACTATGAGGAGCTCTGCTCCGGGCATGTTCGAGTGCATATTTGGGCTTGCTGGGTTGCTGAAGAATCCAAGAGAGTCAAGGTGGAATCTGGTTAACCTAGAACCCCAACAAACGTTTGGTTAAATCAATATGAAAAAAAAGTGACGATGGATAATCGAATCATCGTTACCTCGATGGAGCAATCGTGGAGCACAAGCCTGAGGAGAGCCGGAGTGGCACCAGGATTGCCTTTCTGAAGCTTCTCCTCGACCACCTTCACAAGTTCCACCCCTCAAAATCCGAGTCTCACAGCTGTTCTATTAAATTAACAGAGCTCCTTAGCCATGGCGGTTAAACAGTACCACGCTGGGTGCATCAAGCAATCTCTCCTCCCCTCTGCCGTTGGTCGCGGTGTCAATCACTTTGCCTTCAATTTGTCGAGGATTGGAAACTCCAACTCGAGACCTTCAGCGCCGAAAAACCCTAAAAATACATACTAGTAAACCAGCTCGACGCCGTTGAGAAGTTGAATGGTCGCGTCTCCATGCTTGAACTGGCCATTAAGCTGAACTCGAGCAGAGATTCTTCGAATTGCTACTCCTAATTGGAATCGGAGAAAATACAGAGCGCGAAAGGAGAAGGGGAAAGGAATAGGGATTTGGGCCGCTTTCCTACTCATTTCTCTTCCTTTCTTCTATTTGTCTGCGGAACTATTTCAATAGAAGGCGAATGAGAAAGACAGTGAAGGAGTTAAGTGGAAGTATATGGCAAAGACTGGATATTGGATTTCGATGGAGAAATCGGCGGAAACGACAGTCTGTGCTCTGTAGGAGACTCGGAGTGGGAGACAGGGAGAGCGATGAAGAGACACGCTGCGCCCTGGGTTTCGTTCGTTGTGTTTTTTTTTGGTTACTGGAGAAAAAACGAATTTCATAGGAATTAAGAAAAAAACAAAATGAAAAACGAAGATGAGAATTGAGAAGACGGAAAAAAAGAAGACGGAATAAAGCATATCCATTACCTTGGGCAGGTGGCGGTTTGGGCCGAATCATGGGCAACTATTTTGGGTTGGGATTTAATAAACTTCATTAGTGCCACGTCACGCCTGTGTGGACCAATCACAAACAGCGTCACCAGTGCCGCACTTTTAACAGCGGCACCGTAGCATTGGCCTTTTTAGTTATCTTATTTCCGGGCCAGGCCCAGGATGGTTATCGTTTGGTTTTGATGGTCGGCCTGATTTGTGCAGTGTAGCAATAATAACTGGGCTTAGGCCTACTGGTATGTAAGAATATCATTGTTTTGGGCCCACAATTGAATGAAGAAGTTTAATTTTCTAATCTGGGTAATTTTACAGAGGTTAATAATAATATTTAGAGACTAAATTCGATTTTATGAGAAAATTTATTTGTGGTACCATAAGAATGGAGTATGTGCATGCTTTTGCAAACAAAATTTTTCTTAGAGAATCGATGAAATTGATAAATGTGCAATAGATGTTTTGGCCGTTTGGATGATCTCTTCCTAAAATGATAAGTTTTTTTGTTATATATCTCATTGTAGGGGGGAAAAAATTAGAGACGATTTCCCTAAAGGAGTTCAGATTTTTAGTTTTTTACATGCAAAAACGTTGCACTTTTTTTACGGTTAAACAAAAGATTTCAACTCATACACTTCGTCATGTGATAATTTATCAAAATAGCGCAACAAAGTATCTCATTATGAAGAAAAAATCATTCTCTCTCATATTGTTGCCCTCTGATTTTCTTTTAATTATTGATCACGTCTACTTAGAAAATGAACAATGATCTAATGTACAATGGTTCCGTCATATCTTATCAAAACATACGAATCAATATTTGAATTGAATCGAATATATTTTGATTCAATTTTATCTCATGAATAAACATATATAATGAAAAAGTGCACCAAATTGAACTAAACAAAACATACTTATGTCCTTCACTTTTAATATGATCCTAATTCGATATGATTCTTGACCGATTCAACCAATACTCACCCAAATGATTATACTGTGTCATAACAGAAGCGTGGCAATCGATAATCCAGACCAACACGAACGAACACAAATTTAACGTGGTTCACTAACACAATGCGTGCTAGCTAATCCACGGGCAGGGGAGAACAAATTTCATTGATTTGAGGAGAGTACAGGTTACAAACCAAATTCCAAACGGACAAACCAAACAAACTAACCTGACTGACCTTTCTACATACTAGGGTAATGAAGAGTATTTATAGAACTCATCTCCTAATCTCAAACAGAAAACCAAACACCTTTTCCCAAGCATACAAGGAAAAGGTCAAACAAAGCCCAAACACAAACTCAAACAAAATATGCCAAAAACACAAAACAAAACCAATTCAAATTCAAGTCATATTCTAACAATCTCCACCTTGACTTGAATCTCTCTCAAATACCAAATGTACCAGACACAACCAAAGTTGCCAGATGTACCAGACGCAACCAAAGTAGTTGCCAGATGTACCAGACGCAACCAAAGTTGCCAGATGTGATCGGAATCACCAAACTCAAACGCAATCAAGATTGCAAGACATATCCAAATGCGATTCATATCGTCATACCAAACGCGATGCAAATCGCCAAACTCATATGCAATCAAAATTGTCAAACGTACCAAACTTCTCCAAATCAGCTGTACCAGAATCTCCCCTGCCTCCAAATGCCACTAAGGGTGATCAACAAATCAAAACATGCAGCAAGTCCAACCCATGGTGGGACTTGCCATGCAGAACCAACTTGGTGTTATTTCCGTGCATAACACCAACATCAAATTTACTGCTAACTCCAAGCCTGCAACTCCAAATTGACTTCTCGATCTTCATACTGATAGCAGCCATTCTTACTATCAAACAAACTCCAACCAAACTTCTCACCAAAAAAGCGAGACCAAAACACAACTACCCAAAGTCAACTTCAAAGCGATTCCTCCACCGAACCAAGCTGAAGAATTGAAAGCTACCTCCACAAAGCAAAACTTCAGTCTAGCGCCAAATTCCCAAAATTGCAACCAAAGGCTCTGATACCACTTGTCAAAACAGAAGAGTGCAAACGACAATCCAGACCAACACGAACGAACACAAATTTAACGTGGTTCACTAACACAATGCGTGCTAGCTAATCCACGGGCAGGGGAGAACAAATTTCATTGATTTGAGGAGAGTACAGGTTACAAACCAAATTCCAAACTGACAAACCAAACAACTAACCTGACTGACCTTTCTACATACTAGGGTAATGAAGAGTATTTATAGAACTCATCTCATAATCCCAAACAGATAACCAAACACCGTTTCCCAAGCATACAAGGAAAAGGTCAAACAAAGCCCAAACACAAACCCAAACAAAATATACAAAAAACACAAAACAAAACCAATTCAAATTCAAGTCATATTCTAAGCAAGATTAATATTTCAAATCACATTCTAACATGAAAACAAATAACCCAAAACATAAACTATTAAATCACATTATTGCTAATTGCTGTATGCTGTTCCATCCAAAAGTGGAGGTGACCCTTTCTCTACATTCCCACCGCCATCTTCCACTTCAATAAACAGTAACAAAAAAACACAACAGAACCCCTCTATCAAAGTTCTACACAACAACAACACAACAGAACAAAATCTGAGGAAATGGACTATAAACATGTTTCTATCTATCTCAAGAAAACACCCACACGCACTCTCAACTCACCGGCTCTTCAAAAGTCTTCTCTGGCTCTCTTTCATTCTCCCATGTACAAAAAGCTCTTCTTTCCTTTCTCACAAAAACGGCTGCTCCCTTTTTAACATTGTTGAACAACTTCACTGATCATGATCATCATGTCTGCTAACCTCTTCTGTCATCTGCTCTAGATGATTCCTCCACCCCATCATCGGCATAGAACAATGCTCACTACTCCTCACGACTCGAGACCGGTCTTGCTCCTTCTCTGCCTCATGATTCTCACTGAACACGGGATTGCATCTATGGCGGGACTGTGACTAGCTTGAATCGTACTAGGGAGTGGAGTAGCCATTGATGACGGCGGGGTGTTATCTAGAGCTTCTAACTGGGAAAAGAACTTGTAATTCTTGCCATTGGGTCTGTAGGTTCTTCCTTCTTTGGTTCTCTTATTGTACTTCTGAGTGTTCTCAAACTTCTCTTTACATTTCTTAGCGCTTCTGGTGTATCCAAGCTCACTCATTCGCCTGAATTCAACAGTTTTTTTTCTTTTAACTAGCTCAGTTCATTTCTATTCCCAAAATTCAAACAAATGAACACAAAAGTAGCAGAATTTCGAAACAAATACAGCAATTGGGAGATACCCATGAAGCATTTTTGCAATTTAAGAACAGGGCAGGTCGGTTTTTTTCCCCTCAGGCGCCAAACAGAGCAACGGAAAATTTTCCCGCCGTCATTTATATTTCCGGGAAAGTCGAAACCGGTGAAAGCGGAAATTAAATCAGAGAGAGAGAGAAGCAGTGGGAATTTTAGTTAAACTAACCTCGTGATCTCTTCCCAGAGGGGAGCTTTGAGGCCGGAGTCTCTAAAAGTGGCGTCCATCTCCGACTTAGTACTGCAGCTGAAGCTCCTGATTCCCTCCTCCTCCTTCTATCCCCCGCAATTTCATCCGCTCCTCTTCCGCCGCCACGCAGCCTCCGCCGTTCCCGCTGTTCATCAAATTCGCCGGCGAAGTCGAGACTTCCATGGCCTGGTGTGAAGAAAGTGAAAGTGAAAGTGAAAGATAAATTTAAGCTCAGATGATCTATTTTGTTGAATCAAGGATTATCTTTTTGTAAAAAAAAAAAAAACTCAAATAAGTTAATTACTTTAAAAATCTTTTTCCTAATTCGTTTTTGGGTTGCTTGAGATTTAAATTTGGTGGAAAATGTCCCAATAACTTAAGTTGTTGGGAGATTTTTAATCGTGGTCTGTGGATCATATACCACAATACTAACACGCCTAGGGCTGGGAATCCAGTCCCGATTTCCGGTGAAACCGGAAACCGACCACTTTAAACTGTTCCGGTTGTAACCGAAAACCGGATTCTCTCATTCACCCAATCCAATTTGCGGTTGTAGGATTCACACAAAAACCCGACCCGGTCCGTTTTGGTTAAAACCGGGAAAAACGGGGATACCGGGTAATACAAATATAGCCAGCCCAGTCCCAGTCCCACTCCCAGCCCGAGCCCAGTCTCTTTAACCCTAGTCGTCCATGATTTTCCTCTCTGTTCTCACTACCTAACCCTCAAACTCTTCTATCTTCTCTGTTCACACTTTACACAAACACACACATGCGCAAATAAAAGAAGAAGACGAAGAGAATCCAAGCTCCTCTGCCGTCTAATTGCCTCCCACGATCGCGTCCCGTGACTCCCGTTGGCGACCAGTCGTGATCCAACCATCTGCCCATCGCCACTCCGCTACCAGAACTCTCCAATCGCCTCCCTCCATCTTCCGATCTGACCATCATCAAATCGTCCATCGCCACTCTCACCAACGACTCACCTCTCTCCCCGATGCAAACCAGCGCTCGCCTCCTTTGTTCACAACATACAGGGTGATGGTTGTGCAAGCAAGAGGAAGGGGGAACAGAGGAGAGTTTATGGGTGCCATACTCTTCCATCGACTCTCCAAGAAGCAAAGGAATGGGAGAAAAAGAAGAAAGTAGAGGAAAGAAGTTGATTTCGTTGTTTGGTGGGGGAGAGCAGCGATAATAACAAAAGAGATGGAAGAAGATAGGGTTTTGAGGGATTGTGTGGATGGGGATAGAGGGCCAGAGACGTGAAATGGTGTACAAATTTTTATAATTTTTTTTAATTTCATTTGCAAACGGCAGCGTGTTGGGATGGAATAAACCAATCCAGTTTAGTTAAAACCGGACCAAACCGTATTGCATCCAATTCGGTTTGGTCAAAACTGGGTTACAATCCATGAATCCAATCCCGTCTTCGGTCGTGGGATTATCTAATACGGTTGTAAAAAATTAGGTCAATCCGATCCGGTTTAAACCGAACCGGACTGTTTCACAACCCTAAACACGCCCACTCAAACGAAAGCCACTCACAAGGGCTTGAAGTTTGTGTAGGTCTGAAGACAAGAATACTATGTGCTTAAACAAATGGGGATCACCAGGAATCGAACACAAGACCTCTCGGTCACAGAAGGCTCTGATACCATGTCAAGAACCAGTTGGTCTCAATAACTCGAGTTGTTGGGAGATGTTTAATCGTGAATCATATACCACAACACTAGCATTATCAGGGTTTAAGGTTTGAATTGGGAAATTCAAATCCACCGTTGTTAAATACAGAGGGATGGAAGGGGTGAAATTAGAGTTTTATTGAGAAGATGAATGAAGCATAAAGTGGATAAAGTTTGGTGAAGAGAAGAGTAGTCTGCAGATGAAGTAAAGATTAAAAAAAAGGCCAAACGAAAAAGAAGAAAAAAGAGAAACAACTGTCAAGCTGGTTTCGTTTTGACATGTCAGAATCTGATTGGTTTGCCGTCAATTTATGGGGATAGCTAAACGTGGCCCTAACTTTTATTAAATCGTCCTAACTATAAAATTAAAATTACATTTTTATCCTTCTATTTTTTATTGTTAGAATATATTTTATCCTAACGAGCACAACTCATCACCCAATAAACAAAATAAAAATGTTGACCCGAGAATCTGATTCACCGCTGCCATTATTCATCATTGCCGTTACCGGATGCCGCCACCATTACCCACCTCCGGCAAAGTGCAAAAGGCGACCAAGGTCTTTCATACAAAGGCAAAAAAGCCTGATTACAATTCCATCTAACACGCAATCATTATCACCTAACACACAACAAATCAAACTCTCATGACAAGTTATTCTAACTATTACCCTAATTATCAAACTTAAAGGAAACCATGCCAATTGCGGTAGTATAGAGGAGGAGCGGGGCGTGGTGATGGAGGACGATGACAACAAGAAAGAAGAGGGACTTCGGAGTGCTCTCCGTTCGCGGCGAAGGGTCGGTTGGAGGTGGTCGCCTCGTTGGCAGTGAAAATCGTTTAGTGCAGGGGATTGCGGCGGTGGAGGGAGTTTAGCCGCTTTCTTCTTATGAGGATGAATAATTAGGGTTTTAAGGGCGGTTGTTTTTGTTAATTTTGTTTAGGAAACTAAAGGATAATTTTATATTTTAGATTAGGGTGATAACAGTAAAATTAGGCGCGACATTTAGCCTTTCAGCAAGTTTGGTCACTTTCCGTCCATTTTCGTTAACTCTAGCTTACGTGGCAGTCAACTTTCATAGTTAACCGTTAAATGCGTGACATGGCAATTAAAAAATTATTGAAAATTTAAAAAAATAAACTTTTATATTTTCCACCCCCATACCCTACCCGACCCAACCTCACCACTAGAACACAAAACCTCCGGCGGCCCACTTCTCCAACTCCGCTTCCACCTTCGCTGAGCCCCTCAAAAAATTGTTGGAACAACACTGCCTCGATTGCTTAGTCGCCGACACCTTCTTCACCTGGACCACAGAATTGGCGGCAAGTCTGGGCGTCCCTAAGATAGTTTTCGGCGGGAATTTGTTCTTCTCCCTATGCGCCGAACAGAGCCTGGTCGAACACGACCCCCACAGTAGAGTCTCTTCTGACGACGATTCTTCGTCATCCCGAATCTCCCCCGGGACAAAAACGAATTCACCAAGGGCCAAATCACGGAAGCTTAGAAGTCTGAAAGCGTATTCACCCATTTCTTCAAAAAGATTCGTACAGGGATTCCTATGGCATTCTCGTCAACAGTTTCTACGAATTGGAACCTCTTTACGCCGACCACTACAGATTAGCCGTCGCAGCAAGGATTGGTAATTGAAGGGTGGGCGCATCAGCTGCTGATTTTAGGGCACGCGGCGGTGGGTGGATTCGTTACCCACTGCTGCTGGAACTCTATCGTGGAAGCGATTGCTGCTGGAGTTCCGATGGTGACGTGGCCGCTGGCGGCGGAGCAATTCTTCAACGAGAAGCTGGTGAGGTTGTGTTTTGGTGGTGGTGAGGTTGGGTCGGGTAGGGTATGGGGGTGTGTAGAAAAGAAATTAGGTTTTTTATGTTTAAATGAATGTAATAATGCGGTGGAAAATATAAAAGTTTATTTTTAATAATTTTTTAGTTGCCAAGTCACATATTTAACGGTCAACTATGAAAGTTGACTACCACATAAGCTAGAGTTAACGAAAATGGATAGAGAGTGACCAAACATGAACCATTTAACTAATATGAGTGACCAAGATTGGATTTAAATATTTCTTAGTGACTAACTATATAATTAACCCGGATTTTTATGGTGGTGGTGGGAGGATTGATTTTTTATTTTTTTATTTATATTAATAATTAGGGGTATAAAATTTTGGGTAGAAATTTTGACTTTGGGGTCAACGAAATTGGCTAGAGTCATGTGACTTGTGCAGAGGGAAGAAAGTGTGAGAAATAGGAAATGACTTTTTCCACTTGGGGTTCACATTTTGGGTAATTTTGAAGTTGTGGGGTAGTATGATATGGATAGATCATTGAGGTGGTTGTTGCAAAATTTATTTATAACGTTCAATTATTTTTTATTGGATAGTATGTGTAGATTGTGTAAGGTCTTTTTTTATGAGTGATCTTGTATTTATTGGATAGTTTGTTTAACGTATTTTACATTGTTAATGAAATAGTTCTTCATTCTTGAATTGATTTAGTATTGTTGTGATTTGTGAATGTAGCTAAGCAAAAGGCTCTCGAGGTTGTTACACCATTGAATCTGGGGAACTCGTTTGTTTCGATTTGTACAAGAGGAATTGGGGTGCAATTGCAGAAGCCACCAGCAACACCAAGTCGTGAAGGTTTAAGAAGCCAGAAAGGGGTATTGCTGGTACCACCTCTTCAGAAATGATAGTTCTCATCTGGAATGCTAGGGGTTTTAACCCCTCGAAGCATGACTCCGTTTTGGAGTGCATGCTAAAGTTTGGAGTGGTAGTCCTGGCACTTCTAGAAACAAGGGTTCAAGAAAAGAAGGCACAAAAGATAAAAGATAAGTTTGTTGATTTTCAGTTTCAAGAAAATTATACTTATAATAAATTGGGCAGGATATGGTTAGCATGGAAGTCAGGCGTGCAGTTGAGAGTACTTGTAAGGAGTGCTTTCTTTATTCATGCTTTAGTCTCTGTTACTAGTACTAACACTTTTTCTTAACAGTGGTCTATGCTTCTAATGAGGGGGAGAGGCTTGCTACATATAGGGCATAGAGTACATGGATTTGAAAAGATTTCCTTGGGCTGTAGGTGGGGATTCCAATGTGGTCCTTAACCCTATGGAAGCTTCAAATGAAGTCTCCATTACAAGTAGTATGCTGGCATTTAGAGAGTGGGTTGAAGATATGGAACTTGTAGACCATCAGGCTTCAGGTCCTTTCTTTACCTGGTCGAACCAGCAACAAGGTAACCCAATTGCTAGGAAACTAGATAGACTGCTTATGAATGATGATTGGATAGATAGGCTACCAGAATCTATAATGGAATTTTTAGCACCTCTATTTTCATATCACTGTGGCATACTGATGCACCCTAAGGTTTTGAGGAAGTCATTTCCAAAACCTTTTAGATTTTTTTATATGTAGCTGGCTGACTAGCTCATGATAAATTCTGGACTATTTTGAAGGGAAGTTGGAGTGAGCAGTGTTGGGGATCTCCACTTTAGATTTTTCTGATATATCTGGCAGAGTAAGAGCAGCTGAACAAGAGATGAAAAACAAGCAACTTCTGGCTCTTGAGGAACCCTCTAGTACAAGCTATGATGCAGGAAAAACAAGCAACATCACACTATCACCAATTAAGTCAGGCTGAGGAAAGTTTCTATCATCAGAAGTCAAGAATTCAGGGGTTTGCATTGGGGGGACTCTAATTCGGCCATCTTTCATAAATCTGTCAAAATAAGAACTGCTAGAAAGCATATTAGACAGTTGGTATTGGATTCAGGTCAGACAATTATTGAACCAGAACAGATTGCTGAGGAAGTAGTGGGATTTTATAAAATGTTGTATGGTGAACCAAATAGGGAAATTGCTCCCCAGTTTGCTGGCATAGAAAGTTGTGTGACAAAGAAGTTGTCAACTACAGAGAAGAGGTTATTATGTGAGCCAATGACTAATACTGAAATTCAGACTGCTTTGTTCCAAATGAACCCTGCCAAGGCTTCAGGCCCTAGTCTGTTAGCTTTTATCAAAAGTGTTGTGAGATCATTGGTACACATTCCCACACCAAAATTCATATCCAAAGAAAAATATTTTTGGCGATTTTCATTACTTCATCTTTCATTTACCTATACTAGATAACTTTGACAAACGTGTTGAAATTTGATGGCACAACTAAAAATCATCGAGTCTTTTCATCCAAAAAGGGAAATAAAGAAAACTGGTCCAAAAGCTAGCCCCATAAAACATTTATTATTCTATAAAACCTTATAGAATGCAAATTGAAGGGAAAGTGGAAAAGTTTGTGTTCATTTCATTATCCGAAGCCAAAAGTTTTTGTTATGGATGACTTTCTCATGATTAATTTGAAATAGAACCACAACTTATAACCTTGTATTTTATACTAAATTTGGGTACGCCATTGACCGGATGAATAACACTAGTATAACAGATTAGTAAATGCATGAATCAAGCTACGTTATTATTTGTTACCATGAAAGAATTCAAATTATTCAATTTCGCAAATATAAAAAGGAACATACATAATAAGTTTCCTGACATCTTATCATTCATGATCATAAGTCTTCATCAAAAGTAAAAAATCACAACTTATGCAAGGGAATCGAGTCCTAAAAAATAGTAATCAGCGCACTTCAATTTACTCATCAATATAAGAAATTACTTCAAATTTTCTTTTGGTTTTCTTTTGTGATTGCTCCGCCATAAAAAAAAACATTATCTTCTCAACACAGCTTTATCTTCACTAATAAGATATTTATATTCACAATCATCGGTAGTCTCTTCCTTTTCTCATGCATTTCATAAAAAACAAACTTTAATTGTAAAATGTTTGTAGATGTGAAACATCATTTTCAAACTACTAAAATTTACCTCATGCAAGTGATAAAATATTATTAATGATTCGCTCTGTCACCCAATCATTTGAAATTTTATAATTCACCATCAATAACACCTTTTTTCTTCTCAACGATGTCATTATCTTCATTATCGAACCCACTACCTCCATCAATAGCATACTCTTTCTTCTTCTCCAACATTTCTCTAAAAACTAAAATTAAGTGATCAATTTATTGGAATTGTGAAACACCATTTTTGAGAAGTTTAAATTTCATACTCAATCAATATGGAACAATCAAACTAAATTTGTACACGCATAATTTATCCAATTTTATGTGGAAATAAGATTGAAATTCAAAATTTTAGTAGAGAAATGGTTAGTTTTGGCCCTCATCTATGTTTTACAAACACAACTTATGCTTGGATATTTTAGAGAAATGTGTTTTGAAAAAAAATGTTTGAGTGTTTGATTGATAAACTATTAAAATAGTTTTTTATATAATAAAATAATAAAAATATTTTAAATATAGAATAAAATTTAAATATGAGATAATAGTCACAATTATGTTTTTTAATTCATTTAAATGCAAAATATTATAAATGGAAGAATATAAAATTTTCTAGAAAAAATATAAAAATGATAAGAGTAATGTTGTACTTTATAATACAAAGTTTTTAGCTTTCTAAAAATTAAAGAGATTAAGTTTGGTGAGAATATGAGTAGTTTGTCGATGAAGTAAAGATAAAAAAGGTTGAAAGCTCAAAGATGTAGATATGTGGGAAAAGAGTCAAGACGAGCAAGTAAGTAGTATAGTAGTATGACATTTTTTTATTCAGCGGAGGTACTGTAGTGTTTGTGCTACCTGTAATTATTTGATTTATCCGCAAGGATATTTATCATTAAAAAAAGAGTGGCATTTATTGGATTGAAAATGTGTAAATTTTTATTTTAGTAAAACCAAAAAAGATTTGAAGTGATTGTTGCAAAATTTATTTATAATGTTCAATCATTTTTATTGGATTGTATGTTTAGGTTGTATAAGGTCTTTTTAATACATTTTACATTGTTAATAAAGTAGTTCTTATTTTTTAATTGGTTTAGTGTTATTCGATATGGTGTAACATGGAAGTGTGGTATGTATGATGGGTAATAATAAAAAAAGAATACAAGACAAACATATTCATGATGTAATATTATTTGATAAAGGATGAAAGATCAAATATGTAAATATGTGGGAAAAGAGGGCAAGATAAGCAAGTAAGGAGTATTACATTTTTTTAGTCGACGGAGGTATCATAGTGTTTGTGGTACCTGTCATTATCTAACTTATCTGTAAAGATATTTATAAAAAAAAAGAGTATCACATGTTCAGTGTAAATGTGTAAATTTGCATTTTGATAAAACCAAATTTTTTTTTGTAATTTAAGTTGTTAATATATTAAATTTATGTATTACATCTAAGATTCTAAGCAAGTCTTTTTGTGTCCCACCCTAATAATTAAAAAGTAAAAAGAATCAACATTTAGATAAGAAAAAAGAGAGGGAGAATGACAAACTAAGAAGTCACAATAATTTGAGTTGTTGTGAGAATGCTAATTATGGATCTTGTATAACTTTCTAACACGTGTTACAAACAAGCTCATAGTTTCAAATGTCAAAATTTAATATTTTTTATGATAGTGTTTTTGCTTCTTTTACTATTGGTATTGTCAGTACGTGGATAGAAGACTCAAAGAATATCTATGCCTTGAGCTCACAAACAGAACTAGTTTTTCTCTTAATATCATCCAAATAGATGTGGATAATAATGTTGGTCTTATCCTTCATCATAGCCTACTTTTCATCCTTAGTACCGATCCTGAGATCGTTATGTTTTAGGCTTGAATGACTATTCCACATGACGAACACTTGCTGACGAGCCATAGTAGGCGAGACCATCTGGCTCATTAAGCCAGGAGTTAAATATGATGCCTGGCTTTCGCGAGATAGAGTAGAAGAAGAAAACCAAAAATTTCACACAGAGCACCAATAATGTCCGTAGACTTGAAACACTATCCTTTATAGACTCGTATCACACTATCCTTGAATGACTATTCCACATGACGAACACTTGCTGACGAGCCATAGTAGGCGAGACCATCTGGCTCATTAAGCCAGGAGTTAAATATGATGCCTGGCTTTCGCGAGATAGAGTAGAAGAAGAAAACCAAAAATTTCACACAGAGCACCAATAATGTCCGTAGACTTGAAACACTATCCTTTATAGACTCGTATCACACTATCCTTGAATGACTATTCCACATGACGAACACTTGCTGACGAGCCATAGTAGGCGAGACCATCTGGCTCATTAAGCCAGGCGTTAAATATGATGCCTGGCTTTCGAGAGATAGAGTAGAAGAAGAAAACCAAAAATTTCACACAGAGCACCAATAATGTCCGTAGACTTCAAACATTATCCTTTATAGACTCGTATCACACGTGCCATTGACAGATGAATACCCATGTTTGGAGACAATCAGAGACTCCATTCGCATGTACAATAACGTTGTTCTTTTCATTTATATGCACGCTTTGAACTTATGCATCCAATACATTTATTCTTCTGTAACTTTTACATGAAATCTTTTTTAAATAAATCAATACGTCTATTCTTACACCACAAATTAAAGGAAACAAGGCCTTATCCTTCATCATAGCCTATTTTTTATCCTTAGCACCTCATTTTGTATATGTTCAATGTGAAACATGATTTGGTTTCACTATAGATCGTGTTTGGAGCTGGTGCGGGTGGAATAATATATTTAAAAAGCTCCCACTCAAGCAAATCACATTCCTTCTTTTTCAGTAGATGTACGCAGTAGAATCCTCGTTCATAAATGGAATCCATTTCTTAGACTTCTATCTCAACTCAACATCTCTTTGCATTGTTAGGTCAGTGCTATTCGATTTTGCATATTTGATATACAAACACTATAGTTTCTCTATTTTTTCTCGTAATACATGTTTTGGTTTCATGGATAATTGGGAACATGATGCACTTCAGCAAGGAGTCTTGCTCCGGAGTAACAAAAAGGATCTTGCTAGACACATTCATTTCATTGAGGGATGAACTTGTGATGGTTACAACTACTTATCCGTCCAATGAAATGATCGTGGGTGAAACAGTGGGAGGTTCGTTGGCATTGATTTTCCATGGCAAGTTGAAGTAGACGTACTCGTTTCTTTCAGTGTTGATTCTCTTAAAATTTGATCTTCCTCACATACTACAAAGAACTCTTATAATCTTTTTTGTTTGTGTAAATCTTCAACCAAATAGTATATATCAATTGTCATTTTTTATAAATTCAGGATTAATGTTTAAATTGTGGATGATGTTTTTTATAACCTCATCCACACGTCTTAATATTTTACCATTGAATTTTTTATGAGATAAGAAATAGTATGCTAATGCATAGATAGTGGATTTGGCAAGGGAGATAATTAGATTGTTGAGAAGAAGAAAGAGAATGTTGATATTGTTTTTTAAATTTCAATGAGAGGAGAAAAAAGTTAATCATTGATAATATTAATGATGTGGATGAGGTTAATTTTGCAAGCATGAAAATGATGTTTCACATGTCCTAAAATTTCAACACTAAAGATTGGTTTTTAGTGAAATAAGAAAGAAACTACTGATTGTAAATATAAAGGTCTTGTTAATAAAGATGAAGCCACATGGAGACTTATAAAGAAAAAATAAAGCCATGTGGAGAAAATAATGCTTTTAATGGCTGAACAATCATAAAGAAGTAAGAATAAACTTGCAATAATTTAATTGTTTTTGCACAGAAAAATTATATTATTTATGCTCTTCGAAATAACATCCAATTTTATATATATTGGAACAAAAAATCGTGATGTTTATTAGCTTGGACTTCATAAATTACAACACCACATAAACTTTTTTCCTTTTTTTTTACTCCTTTTTTCTAATGCTTTCCTTTCTTTTGCAATAAAGAAAGAATAAGATGCTAAGAGACTAAGACAATTCACACAATTGAAAGGAAAGAGGTTTGTCCTTTGATAATTGCTCAGAGATTAAGACAATTAACACAAAACATACACAAGTCATCAACCCCATATCATTAGCATATATTTTTGTTAGGTGGCTACTTCTAGTTACTACAATATATTTTTATTAGTTGCATGTATTTACGTTAAGGGTTAATCATGTGTTAATCATTATACTTTAGTAATTATATAGATTATGTATTAATGAATTATCAGGATATTTTTTCACCTAATAATAATGTTATGTTATATTGATCAACCTGATTAACCAATTAACCAAACCAATTGAACTATAGATTGATTAATTAGTTTGGTCGGTTTGATTTTTATACTTTGTTCCATGGTTAATAGAATTTAGACTTATTTGATTTGATAATTTGTAATTATCATGATAACCATTTCAACACCACTAGAAACAACTAATTTACCCTTCATATGATATTAATTAAGTGAGCCAAGATTACCGTTATCGTTATTGGTCTGTTTGCGTATATAAATCTACCCTTCTTTCCACTTTATCTTCTATTCTCCTCCTATATATTTTGCAATCTCCTCTCTATTGACCCGTCCACTTTGTCTTTATTGATTTTAAGGTTTAGGGTTTATTTTTACGCGATCACTTGTATTCGTTCATTCTTTTGTCTTGGTTGGTATTTAGCTTTAGGGTTTATTTTTCTCGATCACTTTGTCTTCGAGAAAAAATAAGCTTAATTCATCCAAAAAAAAAAGCTTATTGCAAGAAAGGGTAGTGGGGTGTTTGTTAGATGTTGCTGCAAATCAGGACCAATGACTAGAAAGTCGAATTGATTGCTGATTTTGTTAGAATTAGTCAATAGAGTTGTAATACCACATTGATTGGAGAAGGGAAATATAAGAATTGAGCCTTTTGGCAGTTTAATTGATGTGTTTGGCTACCAAATTTGCGTATGATGCTTTCGATCCTTCTATAAAATGCTACTTGCTAATTTTGCATGATGTTTTCATCAGGAATGAAGTTCATTTGACTCTTTCACCGTATGTGAGCTTCACTTTCTAATTTAAATTCCTCTTATTTATTTGTTTGCCGCTTTTCTCTTTGTATCTCTAGCTCAAGGTTACATTACCTCCAGCGCTTTGGAGATTTCCAGGAACACCACACCACCATAATTCACATTAGCGAGGACCAAATGTCACCACCTATAGACTACTATACTATGATAAATATTCTATAGTAATTTATCTTTTCCTTATGTACAAGAACAAAGCCTTCAGTTGTATATAAATAATTGTAAAGGCAAATCTAAGCTACTGCTATAAATTGATAAATAAGATTTTATTTTCCCCTTACATTAAAAACATAACCCCTTAATACAAGGTTTGTATTGACGTGAATAGAAAATTTATTGGTGGTACTGACGTCTAAAGGACATAATAAAACACAAGTCCCAAACTAAACCTCCCTTCAATATCAACACACAAGACAAGCAAACATAACAAACACCAGGCAACACACCGGCCAAAGGCCGGACACCCAGCTAGTAGAGTATATATATACATCTTCTGTTTCTGCGTCAGGAGATAAATGGAGAAAAGATGTTATGGCCCAAAAGAAAAGATAGGAAGGCACTCGGTTGCAGAAGCACCAGAAAGCATTGGTTGGATAAATTTGAATGGATACAACCGTTGTTTCTTCTGATCCTTATAGGAACTAGTCACGTGCCCGGCCGGTTGGCCGGATTCATTTATAAATCATACCAGGCTGTGGCCAAATGAATTTTTTAAACTATGAACTCTTCCGTGGATTTGTCCTGATCGTAAAATTGGAGATACCACGTAAAAGATAGTGTCTCGGTCTCAATACTTGGTTATTTTTCTCGTGGTATCAGAGCAACAGGTTAAGCAGTAACGTTATCTTCCCGCGGTCATGGTGAACCAAGCACCCCATCAGGTTTAATTCCCTTTGAGTATAGATAACCGAGAACATCACCTTTACAGGTAGCCAATTGAAGGCTAGTTCCTCACCTTCCATGCCTTTCTCCCCAACCTCCAAAATCTCTACTTTCATTGGAGCATCATCTTTGGCCGGCTGTATTCTAGGTGCTCTCCTACACTTGACTCCATTTCTCCCTTTCCTTGCACCAGGTATCGATACATTTAGCCCAGATGCCTCATCATCGGGTATGCCATCATCGGCCAACAATGACTTATAATTGACATCCGCTGTTGCCTCGAGAGAAACCTCAGGGAAGAACAAACATCGTCTTTCATTCAAGAAAAACAACAACATAGTACCAAAACCATTACGAAATGAGGAGAGTAGAAAATAGTTTAACTGACATCCTCTTTAACCATAAATATAAAAAGAGAATAAAATAGTTCAACCGACATCCTGACCGACAAAATCCTCATACGAAAAATGAAAGAAAAACCTCATGAAAGGGAACCGACTCCTAAAATTGTTTTAAAAGAATCCTTATATTATTTTTGCTCTTAGAAATAACATCCAATTTTATATATATTGGAACAAAAAAATCATGACATTTATTAGCTTGGGCTTCATAAATTACAACACCACATAAACTTTTTTCCTTTTTTTTACTCCTTTTTTCTAATGCTTTCCTTTCTTTTGCAACAAAGAAAGAATAAGATGCTAAGAGACTAAGACAATTCACACAATTGAAAGGAAAGAGGTTTGTCCTTTGATAATTGCTAAGAGATTAAGACAATTAACACAAAACATACACAAGTCATCAACCCCATATCATTAGCATATATTTTTGTTAGGTGGCTACTTCAGTTACTACAATATATTTTTATTAGTTGCATGTATTTACGTTAAGGGTTAATCATGTGTTAATCATTATACTTTATTAATTAAATAGATTATTTATTAATGAATTATCAGGATATTTTTTCACCTAATAATAATGTTATGTTATATTGATCAACATGATTAACCAATTAACCCAACCAATTGAACTATAGATTGATTAATTAGTTTGGTCGGTTTTACTTTGTTCCATGATTAATAGGATTTAGACTTATTTGATTTGATAATTTGTAATTATCATGATAACCATTTGAACACCACTACAAACAACTAATTTACCCTTCCATATGAATATGATATTAATTAAGTGAGCCAAGATTACCGTTATCGTTCTTGGTTTGTTTGCATATATAAATCTACCCTTCTTTCCACTTTGTCTTATATTCTCCTCCTATATATTTTGCAATCTCCTCTCTATTGACCCGTACACTTTGTCTTTATTGGTTTTGAGGTTTAGGGTTTATTTTTACGCGATCACTTGTATTCGTTCATTCTTTTGTCTTGGTTGGTATTTAGCTTTAGGGTTTATTTATCTCGATCACTTTGTCTTCGAGAAAAAATAAGCTTAATTCATCCAAAAAAAAGCTTATTGCAAGATAGGGTAGTGGGGTGTTTGTTAGATGTTGCTGCAAATCAGGACCAATGGCTAGAAAGTCGAATTGATTGTTGATTTTGTTAGAGTTAGTAAATAGAGTTGTAATACCATATTGATGGGAGAAGGGAAGTATAAGAATTGAGCTTTTTGGCAGTTTAATTGATTTGTATTGGCCACCAAACTTATCCTTCTATAAAATGCTACTTGCTAATTTTGCATGATGTTTTCATCAGGAATGAAGTTCATTTGCCTCTTTCACCGTATGTTCACTTTCTAATTTAAATTCCTCTTATTTATTTGTTTGCTGCTTTTCGCTTTGTATCTCTACCTCAAGGTTACATTACCTCCAGCGCTTTGGGGATTTCCAGGAACACCACACCACCATAATTCACATTAGCGAGGACCAAATGTCACCACCTACAGACTACTATACTATGATAAATATTCTATAATAATTTATCTTTTCCTTATGTACAAGAACAAAGCCTTCAGTTGTATATAAATAAATTGTAAAGGCAAATCTAAGCTACTGCTATAAATTGATAAATAAGATTTTATTTTCCCCTTACATTGAAAACATAACCCCTTAATACAAGGTTTGTATTGACGTGAATAGAAAATTTATTGGTGGTACTGACGTCTAAAGGACATGATATTCGGCTTTAATATATCGGATTCTTGGACTTTATGTGATTATCCGTGGTATGTTTTAGCCAATTGGTGCTATTTTAGGGCTCGCTAACCCGAGAATGGTTGAAAAACCATTACTGCCTAGTGCCATGAGTTTGATGTATTACAGGTGAAGAAAACACGAAAAAGAAGTTGCACCGGCAAACAATTCTCGAATGCTGGGCTTAAAGTCCAGCTGGATGGGGATATATGACTGGCGGCCATAGAGCAAGCGGGAATACTTAAATGGGCCAAAGCCCATTCGCTTGGTCTCCTTGTGTTGGGCGGTGGAACTGAAAAAAAAACTTCCCTTTTCCAATTAATTGCCGCCAGCTCCAAAAGAATACGCGTCCCAGCCGTCCGTGTCCAATTCTGATTCTGTTCTCAAGAATTCCGTCGCCGGCCCACCAAATATGCGCCCAAAATTCACCGCAATTAATTGGAAAAGGGAAGTTTTTTTTTGGACACGAAATTTCTGCTGGGGGGGGGGGGGGGGGGAAGTTTAATTAATTTGGAGGGGCAGCTTTTCTTTTGGTTTTTACGGGGGGGACGTGAATTCTTTTGGGAGAAGGAAGGCGCGCAGCAGCTGAGGTCGCGGGCAGAATTCTTGGCGATCAGTTTTTCAAGGCTAGAGCTGAGTTCAACGAGAGCGATTAGTTGGTTTGATTTTCTAAACTGAACTAGTTGTGTATTGTTGATTTAGAACATGATGAACAAAACCCTATCGATTTATCTTAATTTCGTCATGAACTAAACCCCAATTTCTGGGGGAAACACCATAGGATGTAGCAATTTCTTGATTTGATGGATTGATTTATGATTCTTTTCTTCCAATCTCTATTGCATGAAATTGCTTAATGCTTTGTGTTGACTGGCCACCAATACATCGATTTGTAGTTAATTAGGTTATTAGCGACAGTGAAACCCTATTAACCGAGCCTATTTCATGTGACATAGTAACTTATCGAAGCGACAGTGGATTAAATAAGGTGCTATGCGGTCTTAAATAGGATATCGATCTTCAGGCTAGATAGTTAATTCATTGAGCTACGACAGTAGGATTTGAATTGATTATTTAGTACGTAGTAATTCCCGACAGGGATAGCTAGCACATTCGTGATATCTTGGCTGTAGAGAATTGGATTAAATTGATTGGAATATGTGAATTAATCTGGATAGGATAGGTAGTGAATCCCGGTGTTTCTCCCAGAGCTTTCTCCCATTGAATTTTCCTCGACAAGTTTACTTTGCTTAATTAGTTTAGTTAATTTTGCTTTTAGTTAATAATTTCATCTCGTAAACATTTTCACATATAGTTTGCTCGAAAGAATTGATAAATCATAAGGTTGTACCAGTCCCTGAGAGACGATACCCGGATTTCCGGTTTTACTACAAGATAGGATTAAGGCATATACGCTTTTGCCCTATCAAGTTTTTGGCGCCGTTGCCGGGGACTGCCATACCTTATTTTTGTTGATCTTTGTGAGTGAACTGTTTTGATCTGGGTGTTAGTGTGCAGGTGAATTTTTCAGGTTAATCCTCCTCGTGCATGCCAAGGAGGACGACTGGCAATTTACTGCCACTAGATCCCGAGATCGAGAGGACCTGCCGACAGAACAGGAAGCAGGTCAAGTTAGGGAAGCAGCCTACCACATCCACAACTCCTAGGCCTTCCCTAACTCAGAATCGTCAACCGAGAAGGCAGGTGACACCACCTGTCATCCCTACACCACCTACACCACCGCCGCGCGTCATCGAGCCTGTCATCATGGCTGAACAGGATCGTTCGATCAGGGCTCGTCTGAATCGAAGGACTGGAGCCCGAGCTTCATGTGTTGTCATTCCGGCTGGGGATGCAAACATGGAGATTGCCCCAGCCTTCATCAATATGATCACGAATGGGTACACCTTCTCCGGGGCCAGCACCGAGGATCCTCATGAACATCTCCGCCGGTTTGCAAACATTTGTGACACTATGAAGAGCCCGGCTGTGTCTGATGATGCCATCCGTCTTCGGATGTTCTCGTTTTCCCTGCTAGGGAATGCATCCCACTGGTTCCAGAACTTGACACCCCGTTCCATCACAACATGGGGTCAGCTTGAGAAGACCTTTTTGGATAAGTACTTTCCTCCTGCCAAGGCAATGAAGAGGCAAGAGGAAATAGTCACTTTTAAACAAGCTGAAGATGAAAGTCTGACCGAGGCATGGGAGCGCTATAAGGAGCTTCTAATGAGATGCCCGAGCCACGGTCTCGAAGATTGGAATGTGATCTCCATCTTCTTCAACGGGATCAGAAGACAGTACCGAGATGCTCTGAATAATGCTTCCCGGAATGGTTTCACAAGAATGGAAGCACCAGAAGCATATGAACTGGTGGAGAAGATATGCTCTGAAGATACTGAATGGGGTAGTGAGACCGGCATTCGAAGGAGAGGAGGCTTGCATGAGATAGACAGAGTTGCAAGCTTAGAAGCAAAGATTGATGCTAAGCTGGACTCCAAGTTCGATGCACTCGAACGAAGGCTGGCTAAGTTGGCTCTTGGTAGACAGGAGGAGGTTGCTTATTGCGAGTTATGTGAAGGTGCTCATCATAGGGATCTATGTCCACTGGTGGCTGATCAGGTGGAAGATGTGCACTATATCAACAATCAGAGAAATCAAGGCCAGGGTGGTATGTATTCGAATACCTACAACCCACAATGGAGGAAGCATCCTAACTTTTCCTGGGCAAACAACAACCCAAATGGTGCTCGCACCAATCCACCTCCAGGCATGCAGAAACAACAACCTCCACCTCAACCAGAGAAGAAACCGCAACTTGAAGAATTGCTTCTGGCTCACATGCAGAAAACCGACAATAATCTGAAGGGCCTGGATCAGTTTGTCACTCAACAGCTAGCCATCAACAATAATTTACAATCTTCTATGCTAGCTATGGAGAGGCAGATGGGGCAGATGGCTCAAACTCTGGCGGATATGCAGGGCAGGATTCCTGGGACATTACCGGCTAATACCGAGAGGAATCCAAAAGATGCTAAAGTTGTGGCAGTGACATTGAGGAGTGGTAAGGCCTTGGAAGACCCTAGCAGCTCGGAAAAGGCACCAGAGGCAGAAGAAGAAGCACAGGGAGAAAGATCTTGTGCAGAAAGTGAAGAATCAGCCTTGCACAGGCAAAATGAAAGCGGTCTGCCTGTGCAAAAGCATGCTGCCCGTGTACCTCAAAAAGAGGAAAAAGCGAAGAGGGAGGAGCTAAAACCTTATGATCCACCCGCACCATTCCCTCAAAGGTTGATGAAGCCCCTGGAGGACCCGAACTTCAAAAAATTTGTGAATCTCTTCAAGCAATTGCACATCAACATTCCGCTAGCTGAAGCTCTTGAGCAAATGCCCACATATGCCAAATTTCTTAAGGAATTGTTGACAAAGAAGAGAAAGTGGACTGATTTGGAGAAAGTAACACTCACACCAGAGTGTAGTGCTGTCATCCAAAATAAATTGCCAGAGAAGAGGGAAGATCCAGGGAGCTTCACCATCCCATGTATTGTCGGTGAGACAGAGTTTACAAAGTCGCTTTGTGATCTTGGAGCCGGCATAAACCTCATGCCATATTCTGTTTATAAGAAGCTGGGACTCCAAGATGTGATCAAACCGACTCGAATTACTCTACAGCTGGCTGATCGATCAGTAAAGGTCCCCAAAGGCGTGGTGGAGAACGTGCTAGTGAAGGTGGGAAAGTTCATCTTCCCCGCCGACTTCGTCATTCTGGAGATGGAGGAGGACAGGGAAGTACCTCTCATTCTTGGGAGACCCTTCCTAGCTACAGGGGGTGCTCTCATAGATGTCCAAAAGGGTGAGCTGACATTCAGAGTCTGTGGGGAAGAGGTAAAATTCAATGTATACCATGCAAGTAAGTACCCTAATGACTCTAGTGATGTGTTCGTTGTGGATGTCATAGAATCATGCACTGATGCTGTTTTGAACAATGATTATGATGCTGATTCTGAGTTTGATGATTCTGATAATGAACTTGATGAGCTAACCGTGTCAAAGAGGGCACAAATGCTCGAGACATTGCCTATGCAGGAGGAAGGTGATGAAAAGGCTAAGTTTCCAGAGAAAATGGTTCCATCTCGGATCCAGCCTCCGGAATTGGAACTAAAACCATTGCCTAGTCACCTTAAGTATGCATATCTGGGGGAAAACTCCACTTTACCTGTGATTGTTTCTGCTACACTGACTGATTCGCAGGAACAGGAGCTCTTGAAGGTCTTACGCCAGCACATACAGGCTTTAGGTTGGACTATTGCCGACATCAAAGGCATTAGTCCAGCATTTTGTATGCATAAGATCCTTCTAGAGGAGGAGTCCAAGCCCTCCGTACAGGCACAACGGAGACTAAACCCGCACATGAAAGAAGTGGTGCATAAGGAGGTAATGAAACTATTGGATGCAGGTATTATTTACCCTATCTCTGATAGTACTTGGGTTAGTCCCGTGCATGTTGTCCCTAAAAAGGGAGGAATGACAGTGGTGAGAAACGATAAGGATGAGATGATATCAACCCGAACTGTAACGGGCTGGAGAGTATGTATAGATTATAGGAAGTTGAATGAGGCGACCCGAAAGGATCACTTCCCTCTTCCTTTTATTGATCAAATGCTCGAACGGTTGGCGGGTCATTCTCACTACTGTTTCCTAGATGGTTACTCCGGTTATTTTCAGATCCCAGTAGCACCGGAGGATCAAGAGAAA